ACGTACACACACACACCCCAGAGGTAGGTTCCAGATCCCATTGCAACCCATACGGTGCAAAAGGGCCCGGCGTCCACCACATAAACGCACACAGAGAGTACTTGCGTCCTTACCTCCTGTAATGCTCCTCAATGCTCCAGCTGCTCGGCGGAGCATTGCACAGGCGCTGTACGCACCGTGCGCCGAATAGCTCAAATACCAGTAGGGACCACAGGCAGGTGGGTGGGCTCTCCGGAGCACTGTACTGGAACAGTACCTGATGCTTCTGGCCAGCACTGGTACGCCTGTACCGGGGCATACCGTTCGTAACTCACCACTGACACACATATAACGATGTGTTCCAATATCTCAGGGGCTTCCACAAGGAAGAGGAAATCAAGCTATTCTCCAAAGCACCTGAGGGCAGGACAAGAAGCAATGGGTGGAAACTAATCAAGCAGAGAAGCAACTTAGAACAGAGGAGAAATTTCCTGACAGTTAGAACAATCAGTGGAACAGCTTCCCTCCAGAAGTCATGAATGCTTCAACACTGGAAGTCTTTAAGAAGATGTTGAATAGCCATTTGTCTGAAACAGTATAGGGTTTCTTGCCTAGGCAGGGGTTTGGACGAGAAGACCTCTCAGGTCCCTTACAACTCTTTTCTATTCTAAACATAATTAAACAAAGAAATCCCAAAATGGTTATCTATAGAAAAATCTGAATAATTGAGTTCACATTTTTTTCTTCTAATCCAAACTTTGTTTTTAGATCTCTTATGATGGTCTGGTGAAAGTCGGTTGTGTATATGAATGCTCATCACTCTACTAAACATAGCTGCAAAAAATGGCTGTTTATTCACTCCTTCACAGAGAATATTTCATTAATCACAGGGAGTCATACGATTGCGGCAGGATAAATAACTTTTTGTACTTCTATTTGATTAGTTAGAAAATCTCTTGTTTGGTGCTCAATTTACAGCACTGTTTCAGAACAATAAAAATTAAATAAGAGTTGGTCTTGATTCTAGCGGGCGCCATGATACTAGTGTTCCAATATTTCAGGGGCTGCCACAAAGAAGAAAGGGTCAAAGTACTTTCCAAAGCACCAGAAGGCAAGATGAGAAACAATGGATGGAAACTAATCAAGGAGAGGAGCAACCTGGAACTAAGAAGAAATGTACGAACAGTGAGAACAATTAACCAGTGGAAACACTTGCTTTCAAAAGTTGTGGGTGCTCCAACACTGGAGGTTTTTAAGAAGAGTGGGCAGCCACTTGTCTAAAATGGTATAGGCTCTCCTGCTTGAGCAGGGGGTTGGACTAGAAGACCTCCAAGGTCCCTTCCAACTCTGTTATTTTGTTAAATTAGAATAGCCCTGTCTTTGCTTTATTATCTGCTAGCTGTGTGGCATCTTCACTTTAGAAATTGATATAGTGATCATCTTTAAAAAAAAACACATTTATTTTGGACTTACCCCCCAAAAGCCCTTTTGGTTAGATATCTTTGCTAAGCTTACTATTGTAACACCTGCCTAATACGTAACCTGAGAGGCTAATATCCCTCAAGAACAGAGGTCTTCAAACTTGGCAACTTTAAGACTTGTAGACTTCAACTCCCAGACCAGAAAGAAAGAGCCGGACACAATCAGACATCCTGCTCACAGGATAAACACTGCTGAAGCCAACGACTCATTTCAAGGCAATGAATTGGACGCGTCTTAATATCATGAAAACATTTTGGTGGGGAGAGAAACATTACATCAGAATACAATTTTCAAAGGTTAGAACAGAGATCTTAATTTGGGCTGCCGGCAAACATTTACCCTGCATAATATGCCTGAAATGTGCTGCAGAAGTATTTTCTCTTTATCTCAAGCAATTCTCTGTATAATTAACTTGAGGCAGGAGACAAAAGAAATTCTATTAGTCCTTTTGAAGCGCATTTCTCTTGTGGATAAAAATGTCCCGCTCAATATGGTTATTTTTCTATGGTTCAATTTAAAACGAAACAGTTGTTGTTTTTAAAGGGTCTCTGTTTCTCCCCCCCCCCCCATCATTTTAATTGTTTTTCTTTTGTTAGGAACAAAAAAGGACTGAGGCAAAATAACTTTAGGAGGTGAAGGAGGCAGCCAGTAGGCTGCAGAACAGAAAATGGACACCGGATTGCGCCCACCAGAGACCGTTTCATTGTCCACATTCGGTGTTCACAGCTGAGCAACTCACCAACAAGTTTTCTCTAGAATCAGGCGGATTCTGAGGACGGAACAGAAGTAGAACATTTGGCTCCAGATGCAAGGCGGTTTCAGTTACTACTCTTTAGCGACACTGATAAATTAGTTGGATGATGGCTTCATATTACTAGTGGCCCGTGGAAATGATTCTGCAAAATTATGGACACATGGAAAATATATCGCCCCTGCCAGAAAGCAAGCCAACAAAAACAAAAATCCTTTTCCATCTGTGATGAAACCTTTCAACTATTTTTTGTTTTTTTTTAACGGAAGGAAAAAAAGACACTTAATTTTGTCACTTCATGTGAAAAGATTTTTAATTGTGGGCACCGAAGCTGTTCAATACAAAAGGAATGCAAAATATGAATATACAGAAGCATTTAATATAAACTTAGCCACTTAAGAAACTATTTCCACTTTTCTCCAACTGCTGACTTAAGCATCTGGTACCTTCCCAAGATACTTAGCAGTCCACATAAATTATCACTTTCTTCCACATCACCATACAGCAGGCTAATATTAGTGGGAGAGCCATATTAGTCTACCACAGCCAAAAACCAGGAGTTCAATGCAGGCAGCTCTCATTTAGCGACTGCCTTGTTTAGTGACCATTTGCAGCAACAACAGTGATGAAAAAGTAACTGCGACCAATCCTCGCATTTATGACCCTTGCAGGTCTGTAAAGCAAAGGAAATCTGAAGTCAGATCGTAAACACGGTGGGAGTTCCACTTAGCGACTGCCTCATTTAATGACTAAGTTGCTGGTCACTACATGAGAACTATCTGTAGGGCTTTTTCAGATAACAAATGTTATTAATAGGGATAAGCATTGCATATCCAGAGCATTGCATGACAAAACAACTAGACACAAAGAGAATTTTTCCCCGTGCCATCACTCTGCCGAACACTTAATTCCCTCAGTCCTGTCTCATTCTCATCTTTTCTTATCTCTTATCTTCTCATCTTTCCTACTATCTTCTATTGGTTTATGATTTATCAATTATTGTTTGTAACTTAATGATTGTAACTATGATTTATGATTTGTAACTATGATTAATGATTGTAACTATGTTTTCTGATCTATTACTTGTTGTTTATATGTACACTGTGAGGTTATACACCTGAGACAAATTCCTTGTGTTTCTGATCACACTTGGCCAATAAAGAATTCCGTTCTGTTCCCTATTTTTGTATACTGCTCATTACATCAAATGTATGGAGAGGCTGAACTGTTATTTGTTTTAAATTGGGTGGAGGTGGAGAAGGGAGAAAAACCCAGGAATCTATTTTGCCTCCACATTTACACCAACGGCACTGGTCACAGTCAGAGGCCTCGACCTGCCTTCACCCACCGGGTTAGAGTTCCTTCCACAGTGGCTCCTTCTCAAGTGGGACCCCTGCCACCATTTTCAGTAATGCCCCTTTGGATTCCATGCAGGACAAACATGGCAGATTGTATGCAAAAAGAGTGAATGGGCACAAATCTCGCACAAAGGCTCAAAACTAGGACAAAGTAGTATCCAAGCATTTTAATTTCCCAAGACGCTCCATTACAGATTTCAAAGTAGCTCTTTTGGAACCAAGAAATTTTACAAGCACGATTGAGCCGGGGAGACGGCTGAACTTACATACATCAAATGGTTTCAGGCCACCTTCACAAACACAACGGGCTTTGGGCACATTACAATTGCCAATTGAAAAGACACTTGTAATTTGTCTCTCAGGTAGCCTGCATCTGCATCTCGCCCCCCCCACCCCCGCCCCAGCCTCACCCCAATTTAAATCCAACATCAGCCTACCTACTCTGCGCATCTGATGGAGTAAGCATGGCTGGCGGAAGCCTACGATTTTCCATTACGTTTGTCAGCCTGCAAAGCCTCCCTCTGATTAGTGAAGAGAGATTGAAAAGTTGGCTCAAGGCAGCCTAGATTTTTTCAGCAAGAAACTTTGCAGCTTCTTCGGTTAACCATCCAACGGTCCAAAGCCCCAATCCTCCCATTCTGGACTCAAAGCCTATTCCGACTCTTAGGGAAGTCTTTCTAATCGAAAGCCTCAGGTAGGCTGTCCTTCCAGCTGACCTGTCTCAAATTACCGCACCAGGTGGGTGGCCGAGAAGAGATGCGTGACTGCGGTGCCTTTTGAAAGGCAGAACAGAAGCGGCACAGAAGGAAGGGAGCCGGATAATAGCTGGCTCAAACTGCTGTGCATTTTACTTGTGGGCAAAAGGCCAGGCAGTGCCGAGCAGGATTGGGCAGCCAGGCTTATTGGAATTCTGGGCTGGGCCTCCCTCCTTGTCCAGCGACAGCTGTAAGCCAGCAGCCCATAGCATCTCAATCAGGCATGGAGTTCCATCAAAGAATGCTGATATGGACAGCTCCCCTCCACCTTGCCGAGTGACAGTCAATCTTGGATTCCAGATGACAAGGACTAGATGCAAAATGTAAAACAAATGGTGACCTTTCCAAAGATTAATTTGTTTACCAACAAAAAAAAAACCCCTGCTCTCCGTTTGTCATCTGGGATAGAGGTGACCTTCATGTTCCCATTTCTAGGTGGAGAAGAAGGCGCAGGCAGTCATCTGTTCTCTTAACCTGATCTCACCAATTATGACTTCTCTTAGGTTTTGGGGAAAAGGAGAGTTTATTAATTTGCTGTTGTCTTCTGTTACGCTTGTTATAAATGCAGCTAACGTGCTGCAAATTACAGCAGTGGAACATCAATTTGTTTAGGTCTGATTCCACTCCAGATGCCAAGATTGGGGCTTTTATTCCCTTTTTGTAATTGAAACCATAGGCAGAAGCTTCCCCCCCACTTCCCTCTCCAAGATCTTACACCGTCTTCTTGTCCATCCCACAGCACGTTCGAAAAGAAAACCGTGGTTTTTACTACTACTACAAAATCATTTCCAGAACAAATGGCTGCCCCTTTCCTAGGCCGAGGCAATTCAGAGACAAGCAGGGCAGAGTCCAGGCTCAGAGAGATGCCTACAGCTTCACAGAGGACGAAAGCAAAAGGAAGAACGAGTGGAGGAGAAACTTAGTAAAATGGGCAGAAGGACACGGCAACTCAGTAAAAACTTGGGATGGCAAAGGCATTAAATTCTCCCTCATGAATAAATGAAAAGGAACCAGGCTTGTCTTGCATTATTTATTTATTTATTGGAAGGTGGAGACCCAAGCACCCGAGCTACGCAACAATTCTGCGCACATGAAAATGACAGAGAGCTCCTTTGAGGTCACTGCAATTATGGAGACTTATTTTTGTGGCCATTTCAATGGGCATTTTTGCTCTTTGACAGAGGTGAGCGACTCGGAAATTGCCAGAGGAGAGAGCGGTAAGAGGCCCGCAGCTAATCGGCCACTCTTAAGAAGCACACAATTAAAATAATGCTATTTTAATTAACACAGCTAATCTGCATATTTAAGCAAATGTAATTAACACAATTTTGTGTATTCACAAACACCAATCTATACGTCTAATTATGTGCAATTAACATTTCTTTGCATGCAAGTTTAATTAATAGTGTTAATTTGTATATTTTCATTGCCTGTAATTAACATAATTCAATATTTTCACAAGCGCTGCTAAGTTATATACTGCAGTGATGTACTGATATATGTTATAGCAATGTCATTGATATAATTTGTAGAAAATTCTTTAAGTAACAGAGAGAGTAAGTAAAAGAGGATCAAATGGCTGATACATTCAGGTTGCTTCAACACAGCTGGAAGTTCTCCTGTGTCCTATTATTTATTTCAAACATTTTCAATGTGTGCCATGAGGTTGCTTCCGGAAGGCCAGGTCAGAGCTAGCAAGCTGGAATGAAGGCATAGACAGGGGAGTGCCAAATCTGAGATAAGAAGCAGTTCTTTACAGGGAATTCTGTCTCTTGACGTTCAGATTCACAGCTGAGGATCAATCTCTTCTGGATCAGGAATTCTTCCAACTGCACAAGAGCCCGCTAAGGCGCAGGTGAGCCTAAATAAATGTGCCACATGGGCTCTCTATTGGAAAGGTATCTTGAGTCACAGTGAATATATTCATTAGGAATGAAGGCAAATTTACATGCACCAGGATAATGCTGCAGGATCCACTCTGAGTCACTCACTAGGACCGGAGGTTTTCTCTTTCGAGTTTTCGGACTGATGCTGGAGCCCATCTTCAGGGAACTTCTCTCTAGCAGTGTGTGTGATTTGGGCTGTTCTGTGTGTGGTATTTATATATAGTGCCTATTGTATGTGGCTTTTTAGATATTGATTGGGGTGTTGATGGTTGGCTATTAAGTTGTTGGCTGTCATTTGCCTGTGCTGCCAGCCCTCACCTTCTAAGTGTCTGATAAGCTGGTGGCAAATCAGCACTTCTGTTGACTGGCAAGGGGCCCATTTCCCAAGCTTCAATCACTTCCCTGGCTGTTTTTGTAACCGCTCGTCCAACTATCTTAATAGCTGCAAAATTGAATGTATGTCCTTGTTCATTGCAGTGTGAGGCTACCAGTGAGCTCAGGTCTCCTCGTTTGATCACTTTCTTGGCAGCACAAGCAGCCAAAGACTTAATAACCAGTCATCAACACCAGTGGTGAAGTTTAATTTATTTTACTACCGGTTCTGTGGGCGTGGCTTGGTGGGCGTGGCAGAGGGAGGATACTGCAAAATCTCCATTCCCATCC